AGGCTGAGGCAGGAGAACTGCTTGAACCTGGAAGGCAGAGGTCGCGATGAGCCAAGATCGCACCACTGCACTGCAGCCTCGGCAACAAGAGCGAAACTCCATCTCAAAAAAAAAAAAAAAGAAATCTATCCAGGTTACAGAAATAAAATCCACAAATCAAAGAAATAGTAATAGGAAAAAAGGAGCAAAAATGAAAGATAAACACATAAAATAAATCCAAATGGTCAATAAACATATTTTTCAAATGTGCACCTTCACCAGTTATCAGGCAAATGCAAAATAAAATGGCACAAAATAAAAATGCAAAATAAATGGTTAATAAAGTTCACCCAACTGGCATCTATTTTTAAAGAGGAATCATTAAAATTAGAGAGAATGTAGCAGAATTAGAGAATTCACAGGATTAAATGAGAACCTTAAAATGCTGGGAAGACACACGGCAGCTACTACGCGATACTGCATCCAGGCAGTTAAGTTTCTCCTTCTGTGACTTGCCTGTCCATGGCCTGGTGACAGGTGTACAAAGAAGGGAAATCACTCTGGGAAGCATCTAGCAAAAGTGCTTATCTCACCCCCGACTACCCCAGCAACACTACTCCTGAATATAATCCTCAGAGAAATGTTCAAATATATATGCATCCAAACATATGAGAGTGTTCACTGCCACACTGCAAGCAGTGAAAAAATAAAAATAAGCAAAAGAACTCTGTGACCACTCAGAGTTATGAACCATCACATACCTTTTTTTTTTTTTTTTTTTGAGATGGAGTCTCACTCTTGTACCCCAGGCTGGAGTGCAATGGCGTGATCTCGGCTCACTGCAACCTCCACCTCCCAGGTTCAAGCAATTCTCTGCAGGAGATCAGTCAGAGTGGTGGGAAAAACTATAGGGAAAGGATGCAAACCTGCTGAAAGGTAGGAAGGTTCTGCAGAGCCCCGCGGGAGAATAGCTGAAGGCAGCTGTCCTATAACCCTGAGGCAGAGGGCATGGAGTAGATAAAAGGAGTGTGGAGGAATTTATCTTAAACAGGCTTGTTTACTTATGTTGACCAGGAACTGACCTTTGATCATCAGCACATGATGTCCCCTGAAAGGGGAGCAATAAATGTTAATTACCCTGCAGGCTGTGTTTGCTCCAGGTTTTTCCGCATTGTGCCTGCACTGAGTAAAAGCAAGCAGCTCCAGCTTCTCGGGGCTGCTCTCTGGCCACTAGAGCCAGGAAGTCACCTAGCTGCTCTTACATTGCATACCTGTGTCTGAGTACTCATTTCATCCATCAGCTAGGGCCTGCGGGACAGATCCGCCAATTCTATTGCCTTGGCCTCCAGAGTAGCTGGGATTACAGACGCCCACCACCACGTCCAGCTAATTTTTGAATTTTTAGTAGAGACAGGGTTTCACCATGTTGGCCAGGCTGGTCTCTAACTCCTGACCTCGGGTGATCTGCCCGCCTTGGCCTCTCAAAGTGCTGGAATTACAGGTGTAAGCCACCGCGCCCGGCCCGCATACCATTTAAAAAGACAGAACTAAACTTGAATGTATTAACATGAATAGAACTTAAAAATACAACTTGGGCCGCGCTGCACTCCAGCCTGGGTGACAGAGCTAGACTCTGCTCAAAAAAAAAAAAAAAAAAAAAAAAAAGGCCAGCCGCGGGGGCTCACACCTGTAATCCCAACACTTTGGGAAACCAAGGCAGGCAGATCACAAGGTCAGGAGATCAAGACGATCCTGGCCAACACCATGAAACCCCATCTCTACTAAAAACACAAATATTAGCCGGGCATGTCAGTGGGCGCCTGTAGTCCCAACTACTTGGGAGGCTGAGGCAGGAGAATCGCTTGAACTCAGGAGGCAGAGGTTGCAGGGAGCCGAGAATGCACCACTGAACTCCAGCCTGGTGACAGAGCGAGACTCTATCACAAAAAAAAAAAGACAAAGGAACCAAAAGCAAACATGACAAATGATTTAAGTTATTTATTGGGGATGGCTGGAAATATACTTGGTTTATGATTTTTGTTGCAACAGGGTCTCACTCTGTCACCTGGACTGGAGTGCAGTAGCATGATCACAGCTCACTGCAGCCTCAACCGCCCCAGGGTCAGGTGATCCTCCCACGTCAGCCTTCCACAAGCAAGCACCACCATGCCTGGCTAACTTTTGTATTTTTTGTAGAGATGGGGGTTTCACCATGTTGCCCGGGCTGATCTTGAGCTCCTAGGCTCAAGTGATCCGCTGGCCTTGGCCTGCCAAAGTGTGTTTTTAATGTCTCAAAATGAAAATTCTCATGTTAGCAGGTCACCGGGGTGAACAAGATGCTTTCAATCTACGTCAAGGTGTCTGGTGTCCCAGGACAGCTGCACTGAGAACCACAGCAGTGGGAAAGAAAGGACTGAAGGGTTCTGTCTGTCCCCAGTCGCTTTCTACATCTCCATCAGGACTTTTCATATTTCTGTTAGCAATTCTAAGAATTTATTCTGAGCTGTAATTCCGGTTTTTCTATGGTATACCTTTGACTTTTTGATTACACAAAAAACTGTCTGTTATCCCTCTGCTGAGCCATATACACCTTACAGTTTCCCAGGCAAACCCCCCAGAGGTCACCACACAGGTCTGGCTGCCTGATGGAGAAACTTCAAAGCACAACGACACATCCGTGGGGAATCTGAGTCTTACAGCTACATAAAGTGCAAATCAGAGCAAATGGGTAGACTTCACAGGGAAAGAGAAAATGGAACTGCCTCAATTTTAAATGGAACTCAGTTTTAAAATGTAAAAAGAACTTTACTTTCCATGTACATGACAAAAATTTAGTATTACTAATACTCAGTTCTCACAATTTGTAAGACAAAAATAGACACTCTAAGAGAAAAAGACAAAAATAGACACCTTAAGAGAAAAAAAGACCAAAAAAGACACAAATAGGGAATTCGCAAAAAAGCACAATAAAAATAGCCAAGAATCCACATCTACCAGCTACCACTGAGGGGAGAAGGCTTCGCAGGCATCACCTCATTCACCCTCCAAGTGCCTCCGGGAGCAGCACTTCCCACTCATGCTCCCAACAGGACTTGGGAAGGTGAAGCGGCTTGTCCAGATCTCACAGAAGATAAACGGAGCCTGGGCTGCGGCCCAAGTTGGCTGACTCCAAATCTGGGGCCTTGACCATTAAACAACAAAAATAAAATGACGATCTCTACTGCCCAGGAGGACTTGGAGAAAGGGATCTTCTCACGCAGACCTCCTTGGGGTACAAACTCAAAGAGCCCGACAACAGGTTGCAAAGGTTTTATCAACATGCAGTACTGCAAACCCACAATCCCACTTGAGGAAGCACACCCTGCCCACCGGTGGGAGGGCTCACACCTGTAATCTCAACACTTTGGGAGGCTGAGGCGGGCGAATCATGAGGTCAGGAGTTCGAGACCATCCTGGGCAACACAGAGAAACTCCCGTCTCTACTAAAAATACAAAAATTAGCCAGGCCTGGTGGCACGCACCTGTAGTCCCAGCTACTCCGAGGCTGAAGCGGGATAATCACTTGAACCTGGGAGGCGGAGGCTGCAGTGAGCCAAGACCGCGCCACTGCACTCCAGCCTGGGTGACAGAGTGAGACTTCGTCTCAAAAAACAAATAAACAAACAAACAAAAAAAAAACTACAAAGGCAGTGCACCCTACCAAGATAATCTCAGAAGTTCCCAAGGATACACGTCAATCTCCTAAATTTCTATAAAACGCACAAAGCAGTCTTCAAAGCACTGTTTACGCATGGAAAAAAATGCAGACTTCAAAGCTTATCAGTGAGGGGAGAGTCTGCTATATGCAGGCAGTGAAATACTACGTAGCATTGTTTATACTACACTGTCTCTAATATATATGGTATTATATCCTTTAGGGAAGAACGTACACATGACTGAGAGGTTTTTTAAAATGTTAAAGAGTTTATCTTTGACTGCTGGGGTCTCTGATGGTTTTACTCCTTTTGCTGTTCTGCATCGTTCAGATGTTTTCTAATCTGTCCTGTTTACCTAAATATGAGCTGCTTGAACATCAAAGAGCTGTCAACCTTTAAACAGAGAGAGCCTTGAACTCCAGATTAAATACACATCTCCTCCTGTGATCTGTTACATCCAATATTGCTGAAGGCAAAAGTCCAGCCCGCACCGCTGTGATCCGTCTGTCTCTCTACGCCCCCACCATCAGGAGCCCCCGACACTGGGCTTCCTCTGCTCCCCTAATTTTTTTTGTTGCTGTTGTTTGAGACGGAGTGTCACTCTGTCGCCCAGGCTGGAGTGCAATGGCCCGGATCTTGGCTCAACGCAACCTCTGCCTCAAGGGTTCAAGCCATTCTTCTGCCCCAGCCTCCCGAGTAGCTAGGATTACAGGCGCCCGCTACCACGCACGGCTAATTTTTGTACTTTTTTTAAGTAGAGACGGGGTTTTACCATCTTCGCAAGGATGGTCTCGAAATCCTGACCTCAGGTGATCCGCCCGCCTCGGTCTCCCAAAGTGCTGAGATTACAGGCGTGAAACCGCGCCCGGCCTGCTCCCGATTTCTTCAAGTTCACCTCGTCTCTGGTAGGGACCAGCGAGGCACCCTCGGCTAGTCTCCAAGGCAGGGGCAGAGGCGGCGGCCCCCAGGCGTCAGCTTAGGCCCGGCCCAGACCAAGGGGGACCCCAGCCCCAGCTCCCGGTATGGCCTCGGCCCCGTGGTGTCCTGTGCCCCATGTCTGGGCCTCTTCAATGCCTCCCTGACGCCCTCAACCCCTCTCTAGCCCTATCTGCCTCACCCTGGACTCCTCGGACCCTCCCTAACACCCTCAAATACTTCCATGGTTCCCTCAACGTGGCGGCACCGCGGCCGCTCTCCACCCACACCGGAAACACCACATCGCCGGGCCCCGCGCCCATCTGGTGGTCCCGACCCGGGGCCACCGCCACCGCCCCTCCCAGGTCCGAGGCCTCTACCAGGCCGGGACCGCCGCCCCCGCGCGCTCACCCTCGCGGCAACGCCTCCTCCAGATGGTATCGGTGTGCAGGATGCGCCGGAACTTCGTGCAGACCTGGGCCAAGCTGGGTAGGTCGGTGCCCGGCAGCGACGCGAAGATCTCCACCAGCAGCTCGGGTGGCAGCTCCAGCAGCGAGCAGCGCGGGGGCGGCCGCGAGGGGCCCGCGCACAAGCCGCCCCCTACCCCGGCCAGCACCGCCGCGCTCGCCTCGATGCGCTCCTCCTCGGGGTCTGTGTCCGGCTCGCTGTCGGCCGCTGCCGTCTCGGCCGGGCCCCGTCGCTGCTGGCGGCGCCGGCATCCGCGCGACGGGCCCACGCCGCAGAGGCGAGCGCACACCGCCATGCCGCCCAGTGACGGCCCCTACCGCCGCCTCTGCGCACGCTCCAGCGCGGCCCCGCCCCGCCAGCGCCGAGCCACGGCCCCTCCGCAGAGCCCGCCACGCCCCCTGGAGAGCCCAGCCCCGCCCCTAGCTGGAGCCCCGCCCCGGTCGCACCACCCCACTCCCCGTGGGGCGGCGACCTCTGAGACCCCGCGCGGTTGCCATCTCTCCGGCACGAGGGCGCCGCCCGTGGCGGGGACGAGAAAAGAAAGTGGTGATGCCGGGTGCAAAATGTCAGGCTGCCCCGTGTGAGGCTCGAACTCACGACCTTCAGATTATGAGACTGACGCGCTGCCTACTGCGCTAACGAGGCTGCTGGGTCGCCCCTCCGCGCCGCGGCCTTTGTGGAGAGAAGAGTCGCCCCCCGTGCCCGGCGCCCGCTTCCGGCACCTGAAAATGTGCCCCGCCGGCCCGTGAGTAGGAAGATGCGTTTTACAACCTCCAAATACAGAGACAGCAGCCAGAACCCCAAAGGGCGTCTAGAAACCCTTTTGTCCATCGAAACAACAGGCGTTCCATCGTGTCTGTCTTATGGTAACCAAAAGGCCCGCGCTGCGGGGCTCTGCAGGGACCTTCCGGGGGCCCGAGCTCCCTGCGGAAGCCCCGGGGAGGGCTTGCAGGGGCGGCGGCCAGCGCGGCCCAAGAGATCCGGGGATGCGCGCCCGGTCTGGAAAGGGAGGCCCTGCCACGCGGCGCCGCCCAAACGGCGCCATTTCCTGCAGCTGCCGGAAGCCGCGCACGCCCGCTCCAGCTGGGCCCTGCCGAGGCCGCGGAGCGGGGTCGTCTCGCAGGTACGCGGGTGGTGACCACGAAGGCGTCCTCTGACCAGAGCAGCCGCGCATGTCGCCGTGGGCTCGCCTCGGACCCCATCTCTTGGAGGCCCAGGCGGGAGTATAAATAGAGGCCAGGAGCTCGAGACCAGCCTGGGCAACACAGCGCAGACCCGTCTACTAAGCAATCCAAATTTTAAAAAGAGAGGCTGAGGCGAGAGGATCGCTTGATCCCAGGAAGCCGAGGCTGCAATGACCCGCGATGGCGCCACTGCACTCCAGCCTGGGCAACACAGCGTGACCCTGCCTCCAAAAAAAACAAAAAACAAAAATAGCCACAAATGGCTGGGCGCGACGGCTCACGTCTGTAATCCCGGCACTTTGAGAGGCGGAGACGGGTGGATCACCTGAGGTCAGCAGTTTGAGACCAGCCTGACCAACATGGTGAAACCCTGTCTCTTAAAAAAAAAAAAAAAAAAAGCCACACAGACCAGGAGCCGTGGCTCACGCCTGTAATTCTAGCACTTTGGGAGGCCGAGGCGGGCAGATTGGTTAAGCCCAGGAGTTGGAGACCAGCCTAAGCACATAGTGAGATGTCCCCATCTCTACAAATAATTTAAAAAGTTAGCCGGGCATGGTGGTGCCTACTCGGGAGGCTGAGGCGGGAGGATCGCTTGAGCCAGGAGTTGGTGGCTCCAGTGAACTGTGATCACACCACTGCACTCCAGTCTGGACAACAGGGCAAGACCCTGTCTCAAAAAAAAAAAAAAAAAAAAAAAAAAACCACCAAGGCCAGACGTGGTGGCTCACACCTGTAATCCCAGCACTTTGGGAGGCCTAGGTGGGCGGATCACGAGGGCAGGAGATCGAGACCATCCTGGCTAACATGGTAAAATACCGTCTCTACTAAAAAATTTGCCGGGCGCGGTTGTGGGCGCCTGTAGTCCCAGCTACTCGGCAGGCTGAGGCGGGAGAATGGTGTGAACCCAGGAGGCGGAGCTTGCAATGAGCCGAGATCGGGCCACTGCACTCCAGTCTGGGCGACAGAGCGAGACTCCTTCTCGACAACAACAAAAAAGCCCCACCAAAACCAAAAAATAATAATAACAAAAATCCATACAGATGCGCCTATGTCCAAACCTTGAGCATCTCAGGCCAACACTATTGAAAAATAGTACCTGACTGATTACCCTGG